TCAGTTATAATAGATTAAATAAAATGGGTCCCAAAACCGAACCTTGAGGAACTCCACTGGTAACCTCCCTCCCAACTTGGCAGTTCACCCTTCAATACGACCCGCTGCATTCTCCCCATTAACCAATTCCTTATCCACCTCTGGATTTTCATATCGATCCCCATCTTTTCCAGTTTAACCAATAATTCCTCATGGGGTACAGTATCAAACGCTTTACTGAAATCCAGGTATATTAGGTCCACCGCATTTCTCTTATCTAACAAGTCCGTTACTTTCTCGAAGAAGGAGATCAGATTCGTTTGGCACGATCTGCCCTTCGTAAAACCATGTTGTAATTTATCGCAATTGCCATTAACCTCAAGGTCCTCAACTACTTTCTCTTTCAGAATTTTCTCCAGCACCTTGCACACTACAGATATTAAACTAACAGGCCTATAGTTACCCGGATCACTTTTTTTCCCTTTCTTGAAAATAGGAATCACATTAGCTATTCTCCAGTCTAATGGAACCACCCCCGAGTTTACAGATTCATTAAATATTATCGCTAATGGGCCTGCTATTTCCCGCGCCAATTCCTTCAATATTCTCGGATGAAGATCGTCCGATCCGCCCGACTTAGCCCCATTAAGGTGTTCAAGTTTCGTTTCTACCTCGGATACGGTAATCCCCCCTCCTGTATGCCCCTCTGTCACGGTGCTAGTATCCCTAATACCTTCATTGGCCTCATTAAACACCGATGCAAAATATTGTGCCATGCCTAGATTATCTTTAATCTCCTCTCCGGCTATAGTCTTCAGCGGTCCCACTTCTTCTTTCTTTGCTTTCTTCCTATTTATATGGCTGTAAAACCTCTTACTATTGCTTTTAATTCCCCTCGCAAGGTCCAACTCTACACAGCTTTTGGCCTTTCTCACTCTATCTCTACATTCTCTGACTTCACTAAGGTAAGTTTCCTTACTGATCCCTCCCCTCTTCCACTCTTTGTACGCTTTCTGTTTTTTCCTAATCGCCCCTTTGAGTCGGTCACTCATCCAGCTCGGTCTACACACACACACTTGAACTATACCAATACAATAAAAACAGTGCAACCCTCTACTATGAACTCAGCGACACCTTTTTAAACCTCAGTGTTTTTGATCCACTCCCAGACTATTCCCATCTAGTACTGATCTTTAACTGTTTGCACCGTTTCTGTCGAAAATGCAGCAGAACCCTTTTCTTCCCATGTTTTTGGAGAGCCCCATGTATCTATGTGGTGCTATATAAATATGACTCAAGGGTTAAATACTGAGCAACTTATTCAGATTTTTACTCAGGTCTCATTGAGACAGAGTCAATGGGAGTTCACCTGAGTAAGAGCAGAGTTACATGTTCTGGGACACTGTCAGGCTGTTTAGAGCTCACATTTAGGCTTTAGTTGTAGCTATTACAAAACCTAGTGTTAATACAAATACTTTGTGAAATAACTTGCATCTCCCCCTTATATACACTAGAAAGGGTTTGCTAGCATAGCTGGACAGATCTACCAATATTGGCAAATCCTGCTAGTGGAGACGCAGCTTATAACAAGTCCCTGAATGAAACAAGCTATACAGGCAAAAGGAACGTGCCAGTATAACCGCATCTACACTAGGGTTTTTGCCAGCAGAGTTATGTCAGTTAGGGTGTGTGATTTTCTCACCTTCCTGCCAGCCAGCAAAACTTGTGCATGTAGACCAGGGCTCAGTGTTTTCAGCCCCAAGCACTGTGGCTTTGGATTAGTGCCTGACAATCAGAATGTGATACTAATTAGATATACGAGTGAAACTCATTAGTTTGTTCTTGGACATGTTCTACACTAGAAAAGTTTTACTGGAATAACTATTGATTAGGAGGCTGATTCTTTACTAATATAGTAGACCCAGTATAAGCCTGTGCGTGGATGCAGTTATGCACAGATAAAGGTGCCTGATACCAATATCATTTATTTTGCTTTGTGAACCAGAATAAACTATACCAGTATGAGCTCTTTTATACGGGTATAAGTGAATCCACATAAAGGATCTGTTTTGGTTTTTTGCCCACTTTAACTATGCCAGTATAGTTAAAGCATGAAGGCTTTCTAATGGAGACAAGCCCTTGTCCAAATGGAGTAAAATGCAAAAAACAAACCACCAACGTAAATGGAGAAGAGAACCTTGATTACTAAAACCTTAAACTCTGAAGTGTTCTTAATAAGACTGGGAAGGCAATTTGTTTTTTGTTTTTTTAATGGTAAACTCTTTCTTTACTCTCAGGAACTCCTGCGTAAAAAGGGATAAAAAATGTGACACATGGGATAGCATCCCACGGAAACCTGGTTTAGTAGCAACCTAATAAGCGATTTTGTGATGTGTGGGACGTGTTTGTTTCGGTGCACTGCTACATAGCTCACTTGCATTGAGTGGAAAGGCAGGGCAGTAAATTAACCAGCCCTGACTCATTAGTGCTCTACATTAATGTAACCTGACTGCACAAAAACCCGAACCCATCAGAGTTGATGCCCAGGTGTAAGACACTGACTGAAGAGGCCAGCATTCAGGAAGGCTGGGGGGTGAGGGGGTGCTACTCTACCCAAAGGAAAAAGAGATGAGACTTTGAAGGAGGTTAGTGAAAACAAGCTACTCATAACAAGAGCATGTGACTGGCTTAACAAAAGATAGAGTCACAGAGACAGGAGATTCCAACTGCCCTTTAAGGACCCATCCAACTACCACCGGTGACAGCAGGAATCTTTCCAATGACTTTACTAAGAGTTGGATCAGCCCCTGAAGGAGTATCAAAATGTGCAAGACAATGCACGACCACAACCTCAACTATTATGCACAGCACTGGCAGGATAGTTCTTGGAACATACCACTGGTCTGCCCTGTTACACCCCCATCATACCTCCAGGTGCAGCTCCCTCTAGTCAGGGCAGGATCCCGGCAGCTGGGCCAGACACTCCCTGATGGCTTCAGTAGAACTGTGCTGATTTATACCAACCTGAGATCTGGCCCATTGCTTTTAAAGCGGTTTCATTCAATTTATGTGCTTGTTACACTTTCTTGTTACCTAGTTTGTATAGTCAGATGTGTCATTCAATGAATGCTAAGGGATTGGTATCCAATATCAAAAGAGGAAAGCAAGTTTTGTGGTTATGGGTGTCAAGAAATCTGGATTCTGTTTCTGGGTCTGTCACAGACTTTACATGTAACTTTGGCAAGTCACTTTGGCTTACATTTTAAAAAGTGGCCACTAAGTTTAGATGCTTCAATTTTTAGGTTCCCAACTAGGGCCAGATTTTCAGAAGTGCTGATTACCAGCAACTCAACCAACATTCAATGGGAGCTGAGGTGCTCAGCACATCTGAAAAGAAAAAAAATCAGGCCCGAAGTGTGTCAAAGTGCATGAAAGTAGAACTGAAGGGAAGAGATTTTACTGGATTATTGACATGCCTTATTTAGGTGATGTCATATTGCTTATGGTACAGATTTGGTTTTTGATTCATGCTTTGCAAAAAACAAGGAAAATAAATACATTCCTTTCTAAGTCTGCTTGGCAACTTTCATGGAGCTCACCAGCACCCCTTTTCCAGCAATGTTCTCAAGCCATCACTTAGTGTGGTGAAGATGAGATTTCTCTTCTAAAACTTCTAAGGTGATGTCTCCACTGCAGCTGGTGATGTATCTTTCCAGCTCGGGGAGATATGATTGAGCTCAAGAGCTCCGATTGACCTAGCACACTAAAAAATAGCAACACAGCTGTGGCCATGTAGGCGGCAGAGACGGGTTAGCTGCCCCGAGTACGTAGGTAGGCTCTCAGACAGGACTGTACTCAGGAGTCTAGTCCAGGCCACCGCCCAGGCCACCGCAGGTGCACTCTATTTTTAGCTAGCTAAATCGATCAAAGCAAGTGAACGCATGTTTATCCGAGCTGGAAATTACACCTCCAGCTGCACCATAGATGTACCCAAAGAAAAGGGAGAGTATAGCATGGCTAATGCACTGGACTAGGAGCCAGGATCTATCATAATACTTTATATTTATATTTCCTCTTTCACTGGAGGTTCTCTAAGCATTTCATAAAGATCATTTTATTATCCCCATTTTACAGACTGGGAGTGTGAGGCACACATAGAAGTAGTAACCTACCTAATAAGATCACACAGTGAGCAAGTGATAGTCAGGAAGAGAACCCAGGTCTCCTGATTCCCAGTTCTGTGCACTGATTCCCAGACACACTGTCTGCCTCATCTGAATCTAATCTAAGGTACCACAGAATTGTAAAGAGCTGTTATTAAACCTTTGGAATGCTGCTTTATGAAGCACCACACATTTATAACAGATTGCATATAAAAAAACACCAATAACCCTTAAACCTCCTCTCATTCCTGTTTCTCCACTCCTTGCTGAAACCCAGGTTATTGGTATGGATAAAGAGTAACTGCTCTTTCTTTGCTAAGCAGCCTACCCTTCTCTTTGATTCGCCTGGGAACAATCTTCAGCAATTGCACAGAAATACACAGGCTGTAGAAAAGAATTACAGCGAAAGTACATGCCAGTTACTTGATAGTTTCATAATCTTTTAAAATAATTACTTTCCAGAGTGTGTAACAAGTTTGTGCCCTTTCTCACTTCATTATGATGTATAATGGGGGCCTGATTTTTTTTTTTAATTCCACATGTTAATTTACATGGCACATTCAGGTGGAAGAATTTGTAGGATTATGGCATCATAGACACCATGGAAGTGAAACCCAATCATTAGAAGAGAGTTTTTTCCCCCCAGACTGTTAAAATTGGTTGTTGTTTGTATTAACTAAAACATTTTGGCACAAAGCTCTCATGTCCTAATATCACATCATGCCATGCCCCTTTCCCAGGGCAGGTTTTCAGTCTGCAATCTTTAGAGGGAGAACAATACTGTTACCAAATTGAGCCAGCCCAACAGTGAAATGCAACATGTTCAAGCACTGAAAGAACTTCTAGTGAATTCAATACCTGAGTCACCTCATCCCCTCCCAACACTTCACTACCATTTCACTCCACTGGCCACTTCACAGCCATGCACGTCTTCTTCCCTGCCAAGCAGCTAGTCACTGCCATGCAGCACATGTGCCTCACGTCCCCCACTTAACTCTGGCCTGAGTGTGATGGGCACACACCTGTTTTCTCTTGATTGAAGGAATGGTCAGCCTGGCTCATTGACAGACTCTCTTTTGAGTTCTTCTTTTCCTCTACAAAGGGGAGAAATAATTGTATAAACTTCAGGTGTACATAACAGGATACATTTAAACAGGAATAAATAATTTCTGCCAGGCCATTTGCTGTGCATTATTTATCATCCGGGATTATTGAACGCATCAGCTTCTCCCAGGTGGTTTCAGTCCCCAACCAGCACTGATCACCAGCACTGATTCACTTCGATGTTCTCTGGACAGTTCATATGAAATTATCTATCTAAAAGGAGCTGTGAATATTTTCACATTTTACAACTTCCATGCCCGATGGTCCCCGAATAGCTTCACAAAGGATCTCTGTGCAGAGCTGCTGAAACGCAGCCACCTCTGGGGTGGACCAGCAACCCACCAGCATACAGCCAGTTGTACAACAGTGGAGTAAGGAGGGGAAATTTTGAGCTGGGCTGGGAGGAGAGGGAGTAGTGCAGGCTGCCGCCCCAGCCAAGAAGAAGTGCGCTGTAGTCCACGAAAGCTTAATCTCTAATAAATTTGTTAGTCTCTAAGGTGCCACAAGTACTCCTGTTCTTCTATTAACCACTTCATCTACAACCACTGATTTGCTACCATAAGTCCTGCCAAACAATCCCAGTCCTTATATGGATATCTGTGTTAATCTGCAACCTACAGCTCCAACATCAAGGGCCATTTGGCACTTATGAGACACCCCCCCCATCAGACAGCAATAACCACCGTAAGCCATGCTAACCATGAGTACTATAACCTGAGGAGCTATGTGCACATGTCACATGTATGGTCTTGAATGTTCAGGGATGTTTGGAGCTTTTAGCTGGGGACCAGCTCTAGCAACCCAACGTACTTTCCCCACATGTGATCATACTAGGGTCTAAAATGTTCCTGTTCTTTTCCATACCTGGCTCCTGATTCCCGCCTGAGATATTTTCATAGTCTGAAAAATAAGATGCAAACGAGTTGGAGTTAGCACCAATTATTGCACACATCATTCATGGTCATCATTTAGGGGGTAAAATTCTTTCCTAACCTACCCAAGGAACACTGGGGGAACAGAGGGGTAGTGGCTAGTTGGCGTCTCCCTGGTACAGAGCAGGATGGGTCATGGGAGAGCTGAAGCATAATGTGCTAAAATGCACCCCTTACTGCTACTCCAGAAGGTAGCAGTGCTCCTCTTCCCCTCACCGCTTTTCCCAGGGCTTCTTGCTTACTGCAGCACCCAGCCAGGGGGGCCAAAGGGCTTACTGTGTCCCCCAGCCAGCTGTTCAAAACCCTTGTGCTCTTGCAGTGTGAACAGCACAACAACCAACCCCCCACTTAGCCTTCAAGAGAGCACCAAGGCCCAGGTCCTGAAAGATATTTAGGCTCCCAACTTCCACTGAAATAGGTGCCTAAATACCTTTGAGGATCTGGGCATAGGAGTCTGTCCTGGCTGGGGGTGCCATAGGTATAAGAGGGCTTAACCAGACACTGCTCTAGTCACCCTCTTTTTAACATTTTGCCTGAAATTTGCAGGGCAGCAATCACACATCTAGTCCGACATGGCATCTGGGAAGTGCGGTATTGTCATAAGATGACTGAGACGGAGAGGGGTAGGCTAGTATTCGGAGCACAAGACTGGGAATCGGGACTCCTGGGTTCTATTCCCTCTGTGATACTCTGTGGCTGATTCTCTACCCATTTCACACTTGTAGCTTACTTGACACCACTAGGGTGATTCCTGATTGACAGCAAGGTTAGTAGAGATTCGGGTCCTGTGGGGCATGGACAAAGCATTTAACATCTCTGTGCCTCAGTTTCCCCAGGTGTAAGTAGGAGATGACACCCATTCTCAAAGGGGCACAACGAGGTTTATGCAGTAAGGTTTGGATGGCGTTTGAGGATGGACGTGCTGATTATTACAAACGGAACGGTAAAACACAGGCTGATGGGCAGGGCAGTAGCGTTCTACAAGTGCCCTGTGTGCACAGAGGAGGAGCACATCAGCAAGTAACCAAGTCATGACACCAGAGCAGAGGGCAAGTCGAGGCAGGCTGGAGAATAAAGAAGATCTAAAATTGTTCTGTAGGAGCCTCACAGATAATTGTCTTG